GACACGAAGCGCGTCTCGAAGGCGCCGCGCGTGCGCAGCTGCTCTGAGGCCTCCCCGTGGAACAGCAGGTTCTCGTCCACCAGTTTGAGCAGCACCAGCCGCACCAGCTCGCCCATGTACTTCCCGCCAATGAGCTTTTCGTACCTGCAGGCGGCGCGGTGGTTATGCGGGCCGGCAGAGCGGTGCCCAAAGCCCCCACGCGGTTCCGAAGTGGCCCCGATTGCCCTGATTTCTGTGTTTCCCGCGATCCTATGTTTTGCGGAAACTTCAGGCGTGAGGAATCCCGAGTCCAGCTCGGTTGAGGGCGCTGGGCGGCGCTGCTGCTTGGCCCATGCACGAAGGGTTGGGAGTCCAGGGCACAGCGAGGACTTCGGTTCTCAATGGGCAGTCGCTTGGGTAAACTGAGTGTAAAGCCTGATGCACACCCCGGAGCGTGGCTCCTTCTCACTATGTGAGCCTGCATATTTTCATCTGGAAATACATTTGATACTCCTGACTTAATAGAAGCCCGAGATGAAGCTCATAAAGTACTTAGCAGGCCGGGCACCTCGCAGGCGGCTAGCGACAGCCATAATTAATGACAAGCTCTGAGCGTGGGTTTCCCAGATGCAGCATTCTACAAAATGTACTCATTCTGCAATGGGGACGAGCCTGTGCTTTGGGGAACTCTGGGTGACACCAGGTCAGCCCTACTGCGACCGCCAGAGAGCCCATGGTGAGAAGGGGAGAGGTGTGGTCCTATGTAATCACGACCACACCTTCACTTCGCACTGTTGGGCTGTAGCAGAGCAGGCCAGGACTGGGCTGCGGGAAGGAAGAGCAGCTGTTTGTAGCAGCTGTTATCTGCTGCTGCACTCAGGGGGCTCTGGAGCTGGGCTGGGGGCATCCTTACAGCTGCTGACCGGGGTTCACGGAGCTCTCATCCACCATGCGGTCGTACTCCAGCAGGAACTCGTCCAGCTCGCCAGAGTCCCCAAAGGCGCCCCACTCGGTGTTGACGCACATGCGGCCCTCGTCCCCTTCTACCAGCTCCACGTTCTCCATCTCCTCCATGTAGCAGGCATTGCAGCCTGTACCTACGGGACAGGGCGCATCGGATCTCAGGCTGCAGGGCTGGCTGTGTGACCCGGGGTGGACCAGCCAGTGTTCGGGCCAACCTCTTCGCTGAAAGAGTAACACCCTCCCCACTGTTAGGTTTAGATCTAAAATGACCCCCAGGGCCGGGGATTTAGCTCAGTGGTGCCGCCGCCTGCCTCACAAGCCCAGGTCTCAAGTTCTATCCCCGATACCAAAAGTTAAAAATAAAATAAAATAATATAAAATGGCCCCCAAAGCCTCAGTGTTCAGAAAATGATTGGACTATGGGGGTGCTATTGCTTGAGTTGCTGTTAGAAGGTGGGGTCTGGGGAGAACAGGCAGCTACTGGAGGCGTGGCCTGGAAGGGTCTCTCTCTCCCTTCCTGACTCCTCCCTCATCTCTGCTTCCTGGCGGCCCTGGTAAGAGCAGCTTTCCTCCACCCAGCCCTTTCCATCCTGCAAGCACTGAAACTTCTAAAACGTGAGCCAAAGTGAACCTGTCCTCCTTAAAGTTGTGGGTGTCAGGTAGAAGCCTAGAGAGAACTCGGGTTGAGGCACTTTGGGAGCTCTGTGGGAGGGGCACAGCCAGGGGCAGCAGGGATTCATGTGGAGATGTTGGACTGAAAGACAACTTTCCATCCTAAAGGTGAGGATGAAAGTAGAAGTGGGAAACAGGCAGAGAGACAAAGCGAGGTCAGGCTGGAGCTCTAGAAACACGTTTATAGTGTTGCTGATGTATACGCACATGTGTATCATGGGTATAAAACACACATACGATTTTGGGGATATGAATACAGCCAGGAGCCTACTCAAATGCTCGAATACACGAGCTTTCTGAACTGGTTCAGAAGGGCCCATAGATGCAAATAACGTACGTGGACTTTCTGGGTAGCTGGGTCCCAGTGCTCCTGCACACAGCAGATGACAGATGGGGTATGGGGGCTGTGGTTCCCTGGGCAGGGGCAGCCCCTGGGGTGGGAGTAGGGGGTTGGCATGGGGCCAGGCAGGCTCATGGAAAGACCTTCTAGGAAAGGGTAATGCCACTTTTGTGATCCTCTTCCACTTGGACAAATCTGTCCAGTATGGCTAATTAACTGGATGAAGTTGTAATTACATCCGGTGTGTGTTTGCAGCTGGTGGCCCATGTGATGTCCTGGAGCTGCAAGTGTTGAATCTTCCTATTGTGCACAGTGCCTGCAGTATCCCCCCACCTCGGTGCCCTGGCACCAGGCCCTGCACGACTGTACTGGGCATTAGTGCTTTGTACCCCTTGCAGCCCCCTTAGGCCCCTGTGCCTCCTGGAAGCGGTAAGGAGCCCTTACCCACGATCATGCCGACCTCACATTGGTGGTCTTCGTAGTAGCAGGAGATCATTGTGGCTACTGTGTCATTCACCATGGCCACCACGTCCATCTCAAAGTCCTGCCAAGGAGCACAAGGTAAGCTGGGCATGGTGGTGCACACCTGTGATCCCAGTATGCTGGGAGGTGGGAGCAGGAGGATTGAAAGTTGGAGACCAGACTGGGCTATTTTTCTTGTCTCAAAAAATAAAAAAGGGCTCAGTGCAAAGGCCCTGGGTTCATTTCCTGGTACTGTAAAGAAGAGAGAAAAGGAGGAGGAGGAAGAGAAGAGGAAAGAGAGGGACAAGGAGGGGCACAAGCATAAGCCGGGATGATGGGGCTCTGAGGAGGGTTCTCAGGGGCAGATCAGCCCCTCTGGGCCAGTGAAAGTGTCCTCACCCCTCTCCTCTTGATGGCATCTCGCAGAAGCCCCACGATGTTGTTCCCTTCTGCTCCTGAGGCTTTGAAGCCCTTGGTCCAGTTGAGGAGGATGCCCTGTAGGGAGAGGCAGGTTCGCAGGTTCGTACTGCTGGCTCTGTGCAGGGAGGTGGGCCCTAAACTAGCTCCTTCCAGCCAGGGTACATGTGCCACCCCGGGGCAGTTGAGGAGACAGACTCTCAGTACCCACACAGCTCTGAGCCTTGACAGGGGTGATTCTCTGTGAATATCCCTAGGAGCAGTGCAGTCTGTATAAAATCCCTGTTCCTCCCTGTAAGCCCCGCCCCCGTGCAGGCTACTGTGGGGCCCGCCCTGTGTCTTCTCAGGGACTGGATGTTGCTCTAGTTGCTTTTGCCTTGAGCCACAACCTGGCTTGGTTTCTGACACAGAGGCCTCATGTTTACACATGTATATAGCATGTGTGTGTGTGTAGGTGTGAGCACGTGCATGCATGTACATATGCATGTGTGCATGGGTGTGTGCAAGTGTGTCAAGGTGTAGCCATAGAAGACCTTGGCAGTTTAATGTGGGCGGTGAGCCAGGGCAGTAAGAATCAGCTGATGTTCTGTTTCTTTTCCAAAGCTCCACAGACTGTGTGCGACAGGACAACAGTTCAGCCCACATCTTCACCCTTCTATGTGCCACCCTCTGCTCCCCCGCCCTGCCCTCCACCTGGCCACCTTGTCGATGTCCTCGTGCCTCACAGGGAAGGAGAAGGTGAAGCCCAGGGGCAGCTTCTTGTGCTTCATTTGGTGCTTATCCAGGAAGTCGGAGATGCACTCGGAAATGTAATCGAAGAGCTGGAAGACATGATGAAGTGGCCACTAGGTGTGGGGCTGGGTGGGTCACAGTGCTCCCTGGTGCTTGGCCCCTGACTACCTGGCTCACCTTCTGCTGTGGCCCAGGACTCAGGCCCTGCATCTCTCACATGGCAGCCCTGGTCCCCAGCCCAGCAGTGCCATCTGCCCAGTCCCCCTCTAGAGCCCGTGGAGCGAGGCCCTAGGCCTGGTTGGCTGCTCTGTGAGGCCCAGGTGGAGGTACATTCCTGGCCATAGGTATGACTCCGTCTCCTTCACTACATCCAGTGTCCTGGCTGCCCCAGTCCCCAGCCCCCTCTGATGGGCCTCTCCTCAGAGCTGGCAACTCTGCTGATGAACCAAGCTCCCTTCTGGGCACCAGAGCCCAGGAGTGCCTGTGCCATTCCTGCTACCCGGTTCTACCAACAGACAGCAAGCTGTAGGCAGGTGAGAGCTGGACAGTGTTTGTGGGGGCTTCTGCCTGGAACTCTACCCCTCAGAGCTGCTCAATTTTTTGTTTTTGGTTTTGCTTTTTCAGACAGGATCTTGCTGTGTAGCCCAGACTGGCTAGAAATCATGACGATCCTTCCGCCTCAGCCTCAGGTGTGCACCATCATGCCCTGCTCAATTTTTGTATGTTGACTTTTCCTCTGGGAAAGTGGACAGAGAACCGCTCTGCACCTGCAGCCTCTCCAGCTCAATGAATCCCTCCTACAATGCAAGGATCATGGGACTCGGGAACCGTCGGCCAGGCTGAGGCTGTCCGCCGAGGCCTCTGGGCTGCCCCCTCCCAGTGGGTGGGTGGGTGGATGAGCCTGGAGCTCCGGGTGACCTCAACCCCACCCTCCAAGCCTCCAAGCTGCTCACCATCTCTGCGGTGCCCGTCATGGCGTCCTCGGGGATGGAGTACATCTGCTGTTTGGTCTTCACGCTCCATTGTCCCTCCTCCCCCTCCCCCACCTTCACCAGCATCACCCTGAAGTTGGTGCCCCCCAGGTCGAGGGACAGGAAGTCTCCGACTTCTGCAGACAAAGAGAGACACGCTCAGGCTGCACTGCCCAGCAGGCTCGGGCTTGGAGAGACCCAGGCAGCTGGCCTGAGACCCGTGGGATATAGTGTCACCAGCCCAGACTTTGGGGGCAAGTGTCAAGGGTCAAAGGCACGCTGGAGAAATGTTAGTGGGAACCCCAGCCTTGGACAGAGTCCCAGGAGCCACTGAAGGCCTGGGTCTGGGCTCAGGGTGGGGCTGGGCCCCCAAGTGAACATGGAGAGAGGTCCCTCATTATGAGATTTAAAAAGCCAGTGGCATTCCAGGGCTGAACCCATGGAACCAAGGGTGGGTGAGTTGGGGATGGAACATCATCGCTTGCCCAGGGGTCCTTTCTGGGGACAGCAGAGCGCCTGGCAGTGCTGTCCCTGTGGTACCTGAGCCTTCTGGGGTGGAACGCACGTAGGTGGGCAGCATCTTCACGCTGGCCTCCTCGTGGGTCTCCAGCCGCAGGCCGCGGTCCATCTCCTTCTGCATCCGCCGCATCACCTTCTTCAGGTCCTCCTCCTGCAGCTGGAACTCTGCCAGGATCTGCTCCGCCTGCAGGGAGGGTGTGCACTCAGGTCTCCAGCTGTCCTCTGACCGTGGGTCCAGAGTGACCCATCTTTCCACGCCACTCACCACAGTTGAAGGGGAAGAGTTCTGAGGTCAGCCCTTGATGTTACCCTGGGTGTGCTGGAGGGGCCAGCGGCTTTTTCCCTGGTGCTATCCTTGGGGCCCAATGTCTGACAGCACCTCCTGGCCCTCAGATCAGAGGTAAGTGAAGGAGAGGGGCACTGTTTGAGGCAGGGCTGGAGCCCATCAGGAGGGTGGCCAGCTGGCATCACTGTGCCAAAACCTGGTCGCCCTTCCTCTAGGACCTTCTGGAGTAGAGGGGCCAGCTAGCACTGGTGTGCACAGGGTGGTCGGAGTGAGCCACTGTGCCTGACCCCTGCCCATCAGGGGTCTGCCAGCCAGGCATGGCATCCACAGTGTGGCAGCTGAGCCCAGGGGGCAGGTCTCTGTGCACTAGTGTGAGGCCAGGAAGCTCAGGTTGGACCAGCACCACCTCCGTGGGTGTCTGAGAACGGGCCCTGCCTCCAGAGGAGACTGACCTGTGGGACCTCAGGGAGCACAGCAGTGTGTCTGTTCCCTTTGCCCATCAGCACATAGTCGTGGGGAAAGGCCACTGGACACACTAGACGGTGGTAAGCAAAGCCCATCGTGAAGATACTTTCAAGCCAGGTATATAATTCTACCTCTCTGAAAGGCTGAGTCGGGAGGATTGTAAGCCTGAGCCCAGTCTGGGCAATTTAGCAACTTAATGAGGTGCTATCTCAAAATTTTAAAAAAAAAGTAAAAAGGGCTGGGGATGTAGCTCAGTGCTCTGGATTCGTGTCACCACTGCAAACAAAACAAACACCCCCCCCACAAAGATATTTGCATTTTTAACCAAAATAGAAAAAGTAAAGCTACTCTGATAAAAGCCATAGATCCACAGCAATCTTCTGCCTCAGCCTCCCGAGTGCTGGGATTACAGGAGTGGTGGTGGATCTATGCTATAGATCCACTCTTTATAGGAATGTGCTCCCTTTTTGTTTTATACATGAGCTCATTGGGCTGCAGATGCTCCGAATTACAGCCGGGAGATTACATGCCATTTGCTGCTGCTTCCTTTTTTAGAATCTGGATTTTGTTCAGGTGGCAGGGTAACACATGAAGGCACGTTAAGGCAAAATTAGGCTTGCCCAAGCACAGCAACTGTATCCTTTTTGGCAATTGGATGTATGGCCAGTTCTGGTTAATAGCAAATGAAGGGAAAACTGATTTTTAGCTGGAGGGAGAAGTTTGGGGTTCCCCAAATGTGTGAGCATGGCTGTATGAGGATGTGATGACTGGCATTGCAACAGCCATTTTGCAACTATGAGGAGACAAGGCCATTAGCACACTACAGACAGCAGAGAAGAGAGATTGATGCTGTGGCCCCCAACTCTATTGGCTGGCTATGGAGCAAATAATAACCACCAAAACCACAGGTAATGAGAACATTGGTTTCTTGCAACCCAGAGCATTCCTAATGGATATGGAGACTTAGTTAAGAACCATTTTTTAAAAAGGGCCCCACATTTAAACTTATACCCAGGGTAGGTCAGAAAGGAAAGGGTCTGACGAGAGCTCTGACAGAACAGACTTGTCCCTGAGGTGGCACTGTGCTGCCATTGGGCATGAGCAGGAAAGCAGCTGGGTCTCGGGAGGACAAGGGCATGGGGGAGTGGCCGGGGGATGTCCTGTTGGAGACGAACACTGGGCAGCCCTCAGTGTGGAGATGCCCTTAAGGCCTGGGAGGTCACAGGGCATCCTGGTTGGACAGCACAGGAGAGGCGTGGGGAGGACTGGCAGGATGCAGCCAGCTGGCTTTGAGATCCATCCCCAGAATGCAGGGAGAAGCAGGGAGCCATGGAGGGCTGGGTTTGACAGTGAGGACAGCCAGAGGTGGATACTATGGGACCGCAGGCCCCTGAACACTTGGCCAAGGGGTTCAACGCCGCCCCAGCACAGCCTGGCCCCTCCACTCCCAGGTGCTGGGGTGGCTGTGTGCACAGTGCCAACTGCCCACATGCTCCCAAGGAAGATCGCCCTGATCTGTCACCCCCAGAGTGGCCCCAGGGGGCCCGAGAGCCAACAGCACTGGGTAAAGCCCTGGCGGGGGCATTTTCAGCCCAGGACCAAGTTCCTAGGGCTCCTGCAGAGGGGACAGTAGTAGTCCCGTGAAGAGGGCGAGGGCCATATCCTGGCCCCGCAGAGGCCTGCACACCTCCTTCAAGGGGTCCCTGCCTGCTCATCACCCCCACCCCCAACCTGGCTTCTACAAACTGAAGATGCTGGCTGGGGCTGCCCTTCCAGCCTGGGGCCCTGGGCTCTGGTGACCCTTACCAGCGTCAAGGCTGCCTGGGCCAGGCTCCTGGCCTCGTCCACGGCCATCTGTCTGAGGAGCCACCAGGGAGGTTTGGAGAGTGGAGCTGCTGCTGCCTGCTGAGGCTGGAGTGTGGCTGCCACTGTGGTGTCTGAGGACAGGTGAGGCTCCCTGGCTGTGAAGTGCTTCTGGCTGAAGCACTCAGTGGGCAGCTACTGAAATACTCTGCCCACTGTGGCAGGGGCAGGGGCAGGGGCAGGGCCGGAAGGGCAGAGGAGGATCACGGGGTCAGGGTTGTTAAGGGCCCTGGGGACAGGGTGATGGGGCAGGCTGCCGCCCATGAGGTCTGAGGCTGGAGTGTGGCTGCCACTGTGGTGTCTGAGGACAGGTGAGGCTCCCTGGCTGTGAAGTGCTTCTGGCTGAAGCACTCAGTGGGCAGCTACTGAAATACTCTGCCCACTGTGGCAGGGGCAGGGGCAGGGGCAGGGCCGGAAGGGCAGAGGAGGATCACGGGGTCAGGGTTGTTAAGGGCCCTGGGGACAGGGTGATGGGGCAGGCTGCCATGCCCATGAGGCACAGGTTGGGATTGTGGCTGGGGGCGTGGCCAAGCCAGCCTGTGCACCCTGCACCCCTGGATGCTCAGAAGAAAGAGGTGACTGGCCATCCAGACGTGATGGGAAGGGGGATCCCTTGGGCTTCCATCTGTGGGGAGGTCTGGGGTGCATTGTGAACAACCCGGGATGCTCCATGGTGCTCTGGTGGGAGGGAGTCACCAATGTTAAGAAGGCCAGGGGTGTGTAGGAAGGACAGGCTTCCGAGCATGGTGGGGGACCCAAATGGGGAGTGGAGGATCTGGGACTCAGATATTCAGGGCAGCTCAGAGACTTGAGGGCATGGGGTACCCCCGCCCACTGACATGAAGCTTCCTGGCCACGTGAGCAGGAGCAGGTGCACATCCTCAGGGCTGCCCTGAGTGAGTGATCTCCAGGTAAAAAATAGGAGCTTTAGTCAGCACTCTTCAACTGTCAATCAAAGATCCCACCTCAAAGCATCTTGATGAAAAAAACAAAAACAAAAAATGATAAAATGGGGTGGTCATTAGGTTTGGCCACTGCAAAGTTCAGGCCCAGGGCTGATTCAGGACATACCCATGGGGTGGAAATGCACTCGCACCCCTGACCCCTCCTTGAGCTTGCCTGGGAGTGACCCCAACAGACCCTGCCCTGGCTGGCACCTCCCAAGCCCTGCTAAAATTAGCCACAGTTGCAGGTGGGTCAGAGTACAGAGGGTTCCTTGCAGAGATGTGGGGCTCATCCGCCAATGGCCGTTGTGGTCCCCCCTGAGACGATTGATCCTTTTCCCAAAATAAAGCAAAGATGGCCTCACCAGACCTCATGTGACAGGTCTATGACCCCCAGCTCCTGTTTGCTATGGGGGCAGGGCTCATGTCAGAGTTTGGAGCTGGCCAGGCCAGGGAGCAGCTGCCCCGGAGTCTTGCTGTTCACCTGGGCCGTGCAACCGCATAGTAAGGCGGATCCAGCTCTTCTTGCTCCGTTCCTTGGGTGGCGAGAGTGTGCCCAAGAACTTGGTGTGTGCGCTGTGTGTGGTACTAGTTATTGAACCCAAGACCTTTGCATTGGGCTACAAACCCAGCCTGTTACATTTTTTAGCTTGAGGCAGGGTCTTGCCAAGTTGCACAGGCTGGCTTCCAATTTGACATCCTCCTGCTTCAGCCCCCAGAGTAGTGGGATTACAGGTCTGTGCCACCACCCCAGGCTCTGCTCAGAACTTTCTAGAAAAAATCCAGAGCTGTGCAATAATGGGCCAGGATGTGTTAGTAGGTGGTGAGCTCTCCATTGGGGTGGAGGGGAACAGATTAGAATGGCCTTGCTCTGTGTCCCCACTGACTTCCCTGACCTAGCTGTTCAAGGAGCCGCTGCACCGGCTGGACCTGATTTTCATTTTCATTTATCTCAAGGAAACAGTACTGCAAATTCAGTCAAGGATATTCAAGATTATTCCTTCTGCTATCAAAAAATAGCACAGATCCCACACATCAAAATACTGCATAGGGAATTGATGAAATAAATGACGCAGCATGCAGTCAATGAAAATGGTGAGAAAAAAAGAAAAGAAAAAGAAAATGGTGAGATTGATTAATGGTTGTTTAAAGAAACTCTTTATTTATTTTTTTGGTATCGGGGATCAAACTTAGGACCTTGCGCTTACAAGGCAGGCGGCGGCACCATTGAGCTAAATCCCCAGCCCGAAACTGTTTATTTTTTAACTTTTGATTTTTTTGGAGACAGGGTCTTGCTATGTATTTTAGACTGGCCTTTAACTCGTTATATAGCCCAGGCTGGCCTCGAACTCATGATCCTGCCTCAGCCTCTGGAGTGCTGGGATTATAGGCGTGTGCTACCATGCCTGGTTTAAAGGAACCGTTTAGAAGAACCTGGTAGAAGTGACGGAGGGGGACTGGAGCCTGGGTCGTGAAGGATATGTGGCTCCTGTCTTTCTTTGGATTGTTCACTGTGGGGGAGGCTGCTATCATGCCACGTGGATGGACACTCAAGCCCTTGGGAAGATCTAACCCAGGAGGAAGCTCCTGTCCTCAGGCTGCACCCAGAAATCACAGCTTCTGGCAGCTCGGCCTGGCCAGGCCCTTGAGGGCAACCTGAGTTGCTTCTGAGTTTCTGCCCTGCAGACATGTGAGACAGTAAAGGTTCATTGTTTAAAGTCACTGCGTCTGGAGGTGATGTGTTCCATAACATTGTTAACTACATGCAGAAAATAGAAAACGTGGTATGATCCATTTTGTTACAGATATATGGTTGATGATATAGAAAATATACATATGAAGAAAAAAGAAAATATACATATGGGAGAGCTAGGCACAGTGGTACACGCCTATAATCCCAGCTCCATAGGCTGAGGCAGGAGGATAAAAGGTTTGAAGCCAACCTGGGCACCTAGATGAGACCCTGACTCAAAACACAATGAAGAGGGGTGGGGATGTAACTGCAGGGTAGAGCACATGTCCAGCGGGCACAGCCCCCTGGGTTCAGCCCCCAGCACCAAAGAAAAGGACAAAACTAGAAAGATTAGGTCCTGTCTACTATTTTTGCTCAGAAGTTCCAAATCTAAAGGGTAGAGGTCCACAGTTAAATGAACCAAAATTCCAGGCCCCTAACCTGTGGGAAGGGAAGTGGGGCAAGGAATCCCAGGAGCTCGCAGTGCCAGCCCTCCTCCGGGCCTGTGCCTGAATCACCCCTCATCGCCTGGTGCCAAGCGCAGGCCGCTGATGCAACAAGGCTTGGAGGTCACGAGTGTCACAATTGTTTGCTCTCTGCAGGGCAGACTTGAGCCAGGCTGAGGGGCAGGCTGGGGCCCGTGAAAGGGAGGGTGTCAGGCAGTGGTTTAGGACCCGGATGCCAGGGACAGTGGGCAAGGGGGAGCTGGGATAAGAGTCAGCAAAGAATGCTTGGGCCCTACACCACAGGCAGTGTGCAGTGCCAGACCCTGACACAGATTCCACCGGGCCTATGTGCTATAGGGAGACTGAGATGAGAGTTAGGGGTCTTCCCTGGATGCACCAGCCAGAAGGCACTCAACCAGGATCCACCTGAGTCATTCTGATTCCAGGTTAGAAGAGTTTAGTCTTCTTGACTAGATGTGGACCTCTCCAGGGCCAGGCTATACCTGCACCTGTGTGAGGTTCTCGGCAGGAGCCAGAGGCCTCCTCTGCCACTTACTGTCCTGTGCTGGGGCTTGGGGAAAGTCCCCTCACATCTCCGCATTTTGGTTTTCTTCTCAGCAAAGGGTTGTCACTCCTCACCTTCCTCACAGGGCTACTGAGGGGGCCGTGGGATAAAGCAGGAAAGGCTCTCAACACACGTGGGTCCTTCAATTCCTTGTAGCTGCTGTCGCCACCAGAGGAAGTTCCATCATGGGTCAGAGTGGAGGACGCAGGCAGACCCTATCCCTACAGCAGGTCTGATGCCAAACTCCCACCCTTAGAGGGCCCTAAAGAGGAAAGCCAGTGGTACAGCCTCTTCGCTGCTCCTCCTACACCAAACCAGTGAACTTTCTGAACAGGGATCGACGGGGATGACATCAGTGGAAATGGGAGATTATGCATTGGTGCTTCTATTGAAACAGCCTTTTGATAATTAAAAAAAAAAATCTTTAAGCCAGGTGTGGTGGCGCACACCTGTGATCCCAGCACTCGGGAGGTTGAGGCAGGAGGATTGCCTGGGCTACATAGTGAGTTCAGGGCCAGCTTGAATTACAAAGCAAAGCCCTGTCTTGGAAGAAAAAGAAAAAGAAACAAAAGGAATCAACTACTTCAGAAACTGGGTTCTGATTAGACCCATGTGTCACCCACAGGAGGGCCTGGTGAAGGGGGTGGCAGAGCTGCATATGCCGTCCATAGCCCTCTGGGGTCATGGGGACCATTTCTGTGTTCCTGGGAGCTGGCTGGAGCAAGGTGGGCAGAAAGGATCTCACCTTCTGGAAGTTTAGGTTGTGCCTTTTGGCTGATCTGGTGGTTCCCTGAGGAGCCAGAGCACAGGTTGTCTTTGTTTCTGGCCAGCTTCCCTTCTGGATTTTCTGTTTGTTTTAATTTGCTTGTTTGGCTTTTATCTACACATTGAAGTCATTATCTTTCAGCTCAGAGAGTAACTGCAGAAACGGCAGGACAGAAACATGAGCTCTACACAGGAAAGAATATAGGCTCTGCAAAAATAGTTTGGAAAAATCATAATACAAATGAACAACTGCAGACCTCTCAGCAAGCCAAGTATGAGAGGGAGAATCTGATATCTGGGATTACCATATTGCACTACTCCAAATGCCTAGCTCTCAAAATATTACAAAGCAGGCCAGGGATTTAGCTCAGTCGTGCTGCCACCTGCCTTGAAAGTGCAAAGACCCACGTTCGATCCCCAGTACTCCCCCCAAAAAGTGAATATAAATGAAATAGAAAGTAGAAAACAATAGAGAAAAATTAAGGAGACCAAAAGTTGGTTCTTTGAAACATTCAACAAAATTGACAAACCTTTAGCTAGATTTTAAAGAGAGAGAGAGAGAGAGAGAGAGAGAGAGAGAGAAAGGCTCAAATTACTTGTCATCAACAAAAAAGTGAACATTATTATCAACTTGATTGTGAACAACTGTAACTCAATAAATTGGATAATGTAGGTGAAATGGAAAAATTCTCAGAAACACATGAACTGCCAAAAACTGTCAGGAAGAAATCTTTAAAAATCTGAGTAAACTAAAAACAAGTAACAAGGAAGTTAAACCAGTAATTAAAAACCTTCCCAAAGACGCACAACAAAACACCAGGACCAGATGGCTTCACTGGTGAATTCTACCCAACCTTTTAAGAATTAACACCCATCTTCTCACACCCTTCCGAAAACACCAAAGACAAAGAAATATTTTCTGACTTGTTTGATTTTCCCAATTTTGAACCCAGACAATGAAAGCTATAAGAAGGCTACAGGCCAATATCCTTTATGATTATAGATGCAGAAATTCCCAACAAAGTGCTATCAAACAAAAGGGACAGATGCAGCATATTAAGAGGATCATACTGTGACCAAGCGGAATTTATTCTAGGCATGCAAAGGTGATTCAACATATAAAAATCAATCAATATACCATACCACATTAATCAGATAAGAGAAAGAAGCTACATGGCCTTATCAACTGATTCAGAAAAGTATCTGAAAAATCCAAAACCCTGTTGTGATCAGAACACTCCAGAAGGGAATTTCCTTGACAGGACAAAAGGCGTAGGTGAAACTCACACTGCTAACATTATACTCAGTGGTAAAGACTTCAAGTTTTTCCCTTTAAGATCAGGAACAAGGCAAGAATATCCACTTTTACTACTTCTAGTCCACATAGTCCTGGAATTTCTGACCAGAGCAACTGGGGAAGGAAAACAAAAGAAATCCAACCTGGAAAGTGCTATGCTCTGAATGTGTCCTCTCAAAATTCATATGCAAAATTCTAATCCTCAAGGTGATGAGATTAGGAGGTGAGGACTAGAAGAGGTGATTAGGTTGTGGAGGCAGAGCCTTTGAGGATAGGATTAATGCCATTAAAAAGCTTTCCCACCCCTAGAAGCTTCTGTGTCCTTCCACCAGGGGGTCGGGGGGGCAATGACACTGGCATGAATGTGGCCCTCGCCAGCTGGTTCTTGACCTCAGACTTTCCAGACTCCACAATTATGAAAAGCAAGTTTGTGTTGCTTATACATTGCCCAGTTTATGGTGTTTTCCTATAGTAGCTAGAATGGATTAAGACAGGAAGGAAGAAGTAAAACTATTTCTGATGACAAAAACTTTCGTGTAGAAAGCCATAAACAACTCATTAAAATGTTGTAGCTAAAAATACTTGTTCAACAAAGTTGTAGGATACAAAAATTGTGACATACGAATTAGTTGTATTTTTATATACTAACGAAAATAACCCAAAGGAGAAACCAAGAAAACAATTCCATTTACAATAGCATCAAAAAGAATGAACTACTTAGAAATGAGCTTAAACAGAAAAAAGACTTGTACATTGAAAAGCTATAAAACATTGCGAGAAGAAAGTACAGGAGGCTAAAGTAAATGGAAGGAACAACATAGTGTTCATGGGTTGGGATACAATATTGTTGAGATGCTATATCTACCCAAAATGACTGGCAGGTTCTAGGTAATTCCTATCAAAATCTCGTTTTTTTTTCAGAAGTGGGAAAACACATCCTATAATCTTTGTGGAATTTCAAAAGACCCTGAATATTCAAACCAATTTTGGAAAGAAAGGGCACAAAGTCAGAGGAGTCACTTGTCTTGATTTCAAACTTACTAGAAAGTGTTGACTGATGATGACAGACGTATAGACCAATGGAATAGAAGAGTCCAGAAATAAACCACCTCAGATATGATCATATGGTTTTCGACAAAAGTGCTAAGATCATTCAATGTGGGGAAGAACAATTTCTTCAGTAAATAGGGCTAGGAAAATTAGATGTGTAAAAGGATGAATTTGGACTCTTTCCTTATACCATGACAAAAAAGCCTTATGACCTTTGATTTGGCAAAGAGTGTTCTTCTAATGCTGGGGATCAAACTTGGGGCCTTGTGCATGCCAGGGAAATGCTCTGCCACTGAGCTACACTCCTCTTCCTGACAATGACTTGTTTAGGGTGAGACAAAATGTATGTGCAGCACAAAGAAAAATAGGTAAGTCAGACTTCAGTGGCATTTAAGAGCTGGGTGTGGTGTTGTTTATCTGTAGTTCCAGCTACTTGGGAAGCTGAGCCTAGGTATTTGAGAACTGGGCAACATAGTAAGACTCCTACCTCAGGAAACAAGTCCTGTTTCCCCAATTAAAGCTTTGTGAGTTAAAATGCTTGCAAATCTTATTTGGTAGGGATTTAATATTCAGGGTTTAATATAACAAACTCATAGACCCCCACCACCAAAAGATAAATAACCCAATTTATTGGACAAAGGATTAGAACAGACATTTCTCCCATGAAGATTTAGGAGTGGACAAAAAGTGCTTGAAAAGAAATTCACCATCATCAGTCACCTGAGAAAGACAAATCAAAACCATGAGCAGCGACTTCACATCCACTAGGACAGCTGTATCAAAAAGGAATAAAACCAGAAAACAGCAAGCATTGGCAAAGGAGAAATTGAGTTCCTCATCCACTGTTGGTGGTAAGGTACAATGGTTCAGTTGCTATGGAAGAATTTTGTAATTCATTAAAAAATAAAGCATATGGGCCAGAGATTTAGCTCAGTGGTTCTGCCGCCTGCCTTGCGAGTGCAAGGACCCAAGTTTGATCCCTGGAACCCCCCCCCAAAAATTAAGCATAGAACTACCATGTGATCCCATAGTTGTACTCCAAAGTGTATTCTCTTAATTAATTGAAAACAGGAACTTGAACAGATACTTGTGTGCGGTGTCTGTAGCAGCATTACTCACAGTAGGCAAAAGGCAGACCAACAGACAAATAAACACAGAGCTTGTTGTACATGCTGGTCCTCTGTGGGGGTGAAGGAAGTTCTGAGTAGGCTATCACGTGGCTCATCCTTGACCACGTTATGCTAAGAGAGGCCTGTAACAGGACTTTTGTGTGAATTCCACTTATAGAAATATAACAGGCAAATTGACAGAAAATAGAACAAGGGACATGCGGGGAGTGGAAAGTGGCTGAGTTCCTGAATGGGATGATGAAATCGTTCTGGGAACAGTGGCAGCGGTTGCACAATGCTGTGAGTGTACCTAAGCCACTGAATTGTACCCTTCAGAGTGGCTCATATGGCAACTTTTATGGGTACGCATTTCATCACACCTTTTACAAAGAGAGAATAACTAACCAGCTGGTCTATTTCCATTGTGAAAATGGGTTTTTTTTCCTCCTTGAATGGAATTAACACCTGGTGTGCTCATTGCTCTAGCCCTGGGTGCATCCTTGGCCTGGGCTATTCCAAAGTGAGAGTTCAGCCTGGGGAAGGTTTCGGTGAAGGCATCTGCAGACAGCTCAGTAAGCAAAAGGATGTGGTGTTGAGTTGGAGCTTAATTTATGAGGCTGCTCCCCTCAAGGTCCTACCATTACATTAAGAGGGGGAGGAAGGTAAGGAGAGAGAAAGGGGACAGGAGAACTTTGTTGTGGCCCTTGGCACATTTTGCTGCCTGTGAAGAAGGAGATGAGATTGTGGCCAAAGGATGTGACAATGTGTGTGTTAAGACCAGGGAATGGTGGGAATTTCAGTTCAGTCTGGAGGCAGATTAGGAATACAGGCATCCAAGCAAGGGCCCTGCTTAGTGAGATTTTGTTGTTAATTAGGACATGTCCTTGTTTCCCATTCTTTCTCTTTCCACACAGGGAGTTTTTATAATGGATACTGCTATAATTTAGGACCATATGTTAATTAAAGGCTTGTTTCCCAGGATGGTGCTACAGGAGATGGTGGAGCCTTTAAGAGGTATGGCCAAACCCGGGATTTAGCTCAGTGGTTCTGCCATCTGCCTCACAAGTGCAAGGACCTGAGTTCAATCCCCGGTGCCAAAGGAAAAAAGTTAATACACTATATTAACAGAGCCAAGGACAAAAACCATACGATCATCATCTCAATGCAGAAAAAGCATTTGATAAAATCTATTAAGCATTTATGATAAAAATCCTCCAAAAATTGGAATAAACGGTCTCTACGTTAATCTGACAAAAGCCATCTATGAAAAACCAACAGCCAATATCATACTAAATGGTCAAAAACTGCAATCCTTCACACCAAAATCAGGAACAAGACAAGGATGTCCATTATCACCACTCCTGTTCAATATAGTATTGGAAACATTAGCCACAGCAATTATACAAGAGAAAGAAATAAAAGGAATAAAGATAGGAAATGAAGAAGTCAAATTGTCATTATTTGCAGACCACATGATATTCTATATAGAAGACCCCAAGAACTCCACCAAAAAAGCCTTCTAGATTTAATAATCAAACTCAGTAAAATAGCTGGATACAAGGTCAACATACAAAAATCAATAGCTTTCCCATACATGAAAAACAGACTCACTGAAGAGAGAAATGAGCAATCAATTCCTTTCACAATAGCATCCAAAAAATTGAAATACCTAGGAATTAACCTAACAAAAGAAATCAA